ATCATATTTTTTTGTCTGGTACAGCTTTTTCTCAGTAAATTTTACGTTGTATTTAAATGAGGAAGGTAGGCCATAAACTGCAGGTTTCGGGGAAGAGGTCACCCTTCTTCCAGGCTGCCTTCGTAGAAAGTCGACCATTTCCAGACAATAAAATTTCACACTGCCCGTTTCAACTTTCTTCTAAAAATTAGGAACTGATTCACAGGTTTCTGGTATTAGAAATATAATCCGCATTTAGGTTTTTCACAAGGAATTGCAACTCATTTTCACAGAGGCTCTTAATATGCCCAAATACAGTATATTACAGAATTATCTGCTCAGTTTTCTCAAAAGTATTCCGAAGTATTGTTGTTCGAAGAAATTTTGAATTGATTAATAGAAAAACACGGATTTTGGTACAAATTGTTGGGCCTCGTTGACCTTTTAGTACTTGGCCTTTTGCTATGATGAAATGTTTCTTGAAATCCTAAACATGCTGTCAGTTCCGAGAACCTGCCTCCTTCCCAGTAACAGGATGTACTGGTTCAACCAACAGGAAAACCACTTGTGTGTGATGGACAAACATCTGCATCGGCTGGTAAAAATTAAATGAACAGGAAAAAATCATAGATAGACCGCCTGATAATCTAGATTCTAATAAAACTGCAAGGAATGCAGGCACCGTGGGGGAGGGCTGGGGTGCAGAGACGTCGGAAGCTTCATGATGTGGCGGGGGCAGGTCTGGCAAAAAGGCACCTTGGGGTGTCAAAGTTTGCTGATTAAACAGATCGGGAATCGACGTTTAGCCGATGACGAAGCCTGGTTGTAGGTGAAAGCCCTGTCAAGGGAGGGAGGGTCGATGTTCAGGGGGCGTTGTCCCTAGAGAAATTTTTTTCGTTCTCAAAACTTCTTTCACCACAACACCAACCAGCAAGGGGGGCTGGACCCAACCCTACTTTACATTAAACAAACATTTTTGTTCTGATGACTATCTGCATGGCTTGATGATATAACTTTTGGATATAACTCCTTTGAACTTACTGTTTTTTTCTTTCTTTATTTAAAGTTGGTACAATCTGTAGCTATAATCAAGCTAATATTTAAGTTGGTACAATCTGCAGCTATATTCAAGCTAAATAAATAAACTAATTTAAATTACCAACGCTAAATATAATTCAAATAAAATATAACTGATGTTGCATACATAATTCTTGAAAAGAACACAAGTATTAAACGATGAAAATTCAGAGATTTTTTCTTTAATTTTGTAAAGTTGATAATTATAATTATTTTGTTTGGAACAGAGTTCTTTATTTTGCTCAATCTCTTTGACAAAGATCTTGAGAGCAGAGGGAAGCATATCAATCTATTATTGTTAAAAAGGCTGAGGTTTCGGAGGTCCTGCGGCAGAATGGAAAGAGGAGGCCTTTTGGAAGCGAAGCGAGCAGAAAACATTTAGCGACCATGCCCTTTAGATTGTCTAAATACTCATTTCAGAATTTTTTTGCAGTCATTGACTTGTAATCGTTTAAAAGTTGCACAGTTTTGTTATGTCTTACTAATTGCTTTCACAAATTCGAAACCTCGAGAGCGCCCTTAACCTCAAGGCCCATGGTCAAATTTCAATCGCCACCTCCTTTTGGTAACCCTTGTTGTGAGCTTGATTTTTGGTGTTTCTAAAAGCAGATCGAAAAGAAACATTTTAGATCATCGCCCCAAATAAAGATCACCCCTTTGCTCATTATAGCACCTAAGTAATCCAAGGTCACTTATGTGGCTATATGCAGTTGGCAAAAAGAGCAACTCGGTGAGCTGCCAATGTAGTAGGAATACATGTCATTAATTGTCATACGTATTAATTACGCTAACCTCTCTTTCGTTTGCATATAACACTTAGTTTTTTGTTTAGTAATTTAGTCAGTGATTAACCTCAACACGAGTCGCTCGCTTTCTATGTTCTCTCTCGAACCAATTTGTTAAATGCTCGAAGTGACAAGCGATTTCGAGGAAGTCTAATCCCTGTTACCAGGCACCGCGGAGCGTTGAGAAAAGTGGGGGTTCTAAAAAAGTGGGGGACTAAAACCGTATAAAAAGAGGCTTTTCTGGTAGTTTGATACTTAGTATTTGGCGGCTATAAGCCCCCCCAGACCCCCTGCTCCTCAGTGCCTGGTTACAACTGGTGGAGGACCCTCAAAGATTTCTGGACAACCGTCGCTCTGTTTCTTGTTTTCGACGATTTTATATCTAATCCCTGTTACAACAAGGCAGGGGGGGGGGCTCTTGCACAAAATGTTGCGAAAAACAATAGCAAAAGTAGAAATTTAACAATTTTTGGCATCAACACTACACCCCTGTCCAAGGGGCACATTAACTGAATTTTAGAAAAAGGGTGCCAAGAATTGATGCCTTGACTGATATATCAAACATATGCGAAACAACGTTGGTAGAAATCCGAAATCTGTTCAGCATGATCATGAAAGTTAAAGAGAACTAATCAACGAAAAAATTTTTGTTGGTCAAATTGCTTTGCAAATCGATTTTCAGTTCTCATCAAAATGGAAAATATTGAATTTTGTCTTGCATGTAGGTATCAAGCAATGCTTGAAACATTACATTTTTGAACGATTTTATTAGCATTCAAAAAATTTGTATGAACTAATATTGCTCGGAAACCAATTTCTTGAAAAGGGCACTTTGCTGCTCATGCACCACTAGGGCAACGGGGCAGTTGTCCCCGTGGCATCGGCGCTCTTCCTGGGGCCATAGCCCCCTCTTTTTGTCAAAAATGCATAAAAATGGAGAAATGAAACACAATTTAAGCCTTTTTTCGGCTTTAGCCCCCAATTTTCACAACGATCTGCTGTACCTGGAACAAAGTTTCCAAGGAATGCTTGCAACGAATCGTTGTTGTTTATTCTCGGTGCGTTGCGGTATGGAGGAAGGCAGGACGGAGGATTGCAATTATTAGGCGAGGTTGATATTTTGGAAATGTTTCTTTCTTCACTTTCTTTTGAGTTAGTAAACGTACACTACTAGCTATACTAAAGCTAATTAATACCAACTAAACATATTAACAATAACCGAATTTAACAACGCAACAAAAATAGATTAATAACTATTAAGATACATCAATGTAAAGTAGGTTCCCTGTCATTTTATGTGCCAAGCATCCGTGATGACCACTCCCTCTTTATGTATTCACTGTTCAACGACAAAAATAAGATGAAAAACAAGAATTAGTAAGTTTCTTAAAGCAACCGAGTATAAAATTTTGATCACCAGAGGCGAAAGTTGTGGTTTGAAAGACAAACACCCGAAAGCCTTTCTAGTGTAACATGACTCGCGAAATCTGCCTTAGAGAAATTGGTAGGGAGACGATGGAGCATACTTGCTGGCCTCTTATGTTTTCAAAATATTTGGGGGGCGCTCATTGGAGAGTGGGTGCTGATTAGAGAAATTTTGCTCAAAAGGGGGGCGTGCATTAGAGAGGGACGCTCATTGGAAAAAACACGCTTCTTAACATCGCCACAGAAAATGGGCGTGGTCAATTTGTTGGGTGTGATCCCTTAAACTGAGCACCGGTCAAAAAATTTCCTGGAACCGCCCCTGATAGCCTACTTGTCCTATAAATGGTTTATAAATGCGGCATTAGCAAGAAATCGCAGACATAGTTTTGATACTTGCTTTATAAAGGTTTTTCTATTTGAGCTTGAGGTTATTTCTGTGGGAATTGTGTTCATTACATCTCTATGATACAGTGTCTAGTCCGTATGCTATAGTGTTTGGTTTATTCTAGTGAAAGCGATCCACCTGAGGTTTTAAGGTGTTTCAGTTATGCTAAAAATGTCTTCCATGAAATTTGGGTTTTTGTGATGAATAGTTTTGTAAATTTCTGTTGCAAGTTGCTTTAAATCCCTTGTATGGATTGTAACCGTATTGTCTTTGAGCAGTAGTTGTTCAAAATTAGATGAAAATCGTTATAAGCTATTGGCAATTCTCTTTCATGAATGTTATTAATAAGTTTATTGATTTCCCTACTATAATACCAAGGAACAGTAATTGAAGAATGTCATTCTTGCAAGTTGTGCATTTATCTTTTTTCCTGCTTCTTTACACATACTGTTAATATGGTCATCGAATTTTAATTGGTTGTCTATTGCTACGCCCAGCGATTTCACTTTGTCTTCCTCTTTGACTATTTGCCTGTTTACATAAATGCTACATTTTTCAACATTGTTCGGTTTCGCTTAAATCATCATAAGTTTGCATCGGTCTCCATTGAGCTGCAGAGCATTGTTTATAAACCATTGGTTTGTGATATTGATTTCATGTTCTAGTTTAGCTGATATGCCCTCCTTGTCAGTACCTTCAATTCATATGGTATTATCATCAGCAAAGTTGAAAAAAGGGGACCAACGACAGAGCTTGGGGAACACCCGTTTTTATTTCTTTCCATTCGCTAAAGTTCTCGAATGATTGGGTTGATACTTTGGTGGGACGGGCCAGTGACAATTTATAAAGCGTTGAAATCATATAGGACCACAACTGCCCCCTCATTTAGAACATATGTCCCGGTCAAAACAGCTGATCGCAGAAGGTAAAAAAACTTTACTTGTCATTGTTATGTATACACGTACTTCGTGACTTTAATTGACGGGGGTGGGGTGGTAAAGACCTTGTGTTATAGATGGGCATCAAAGGAGTAGTGTAGACTTTTTCAATCAGATGATGTTAATTCAGATTAAAGTGGGCATCTAAATACAAATTAGACCTGTTTTTAAGACAGGCATTCCTTATAAAAATATCAAATAATATTATTCTTCAATCTAATAAGAGAATCTCTATTAGTTGATTAGCTCCAAACAATATTGTAGAGCATAGTAGACAGTCTTTGCAGAGACAAGCTGTTGTTATAGGTGGTGTAAACTACACAATTTTCTACTTTCTAGTTACTTTGTCTAATCTTATTAAATGGCTGATTTCAACCTTTGAGAACACAAGATAATAAGAAAGACACACCCTGCAATTAACAATTTTTTTATCTTAGTTGGCAATGAACAGTGAATGATACATTTGCAAAGCAGTTACACAAAATATCTGGAAGATATTGTTATCAAGACTGAGGCAGAAAAAAGAATATCATTTCAGTAAAATGGTCAAAAAGTTACAATGACTGCAGAAAATCAGAAAAAATTCTTTCACAAAATCAATGAGTATGTTACAAAGAAGAAAACCTTTCATGTTTAAACATATAAAATGACAAGCAGTCTGAGCTATTATCACTAAATAATTGTGAAACTGCATGTCAGGAAACAATATTTTAATCATTCCAGATATTTTTTTAAATAGGAAAAATTATCTTCTAAGGAAATCAGTAATAAAACTAATTTAATGGAACAACCTATGTCTTAAAATAAATGATTCAATAGTTTCTAATTCCTGAGAGTTGAGGAAGCGGCAACAGATGGCAGCCTATAGCTTTTTAATTAACATCAGATTGGCTCAAATATGGGTAAAAGAACAAAACAAAACTTATAGAAGGAAATAAGGGACTGATGCAAGATTTTTTACTCATTTCCTATGGAGCAAAGAATTTTAACTTTGTGTGACACCCTGAGAATATTCAACCAGAGAGGATAAGAAATATAATTTCATGTGATACCAACATGAACTCTTCAACATGAATAACTTGACACACAAATTACAAAGCCAATGACAAGAAATATTGGCCTTATGATAATGTGGTAGCTATTCTGGATGCTGTAGGATCTCATCTAATTCTTATTAGCTGCTTAGGCCAAACTGTGTTACTAAGTCACTGGCATGAAGATTTTATCTGGTTTTTTATGTCCATCCCTACAATTTTACCACTTTTTCTTGTGTTCATCCAAGCTGACTCCACCAGGACCAAGGGCAACAAGCAATAGAAGGCCACCAATGACAGACATGGTTTGGAAGAAGTCATACTTGAGGAAATCTCTCATTGCCTTCCATGCAGGCACCATCCAGAAAGCATTCTCATAGACATTAAGCATTGTTAACCAGAAAGTGAGCAGAAGAGCACACAGCTTTGTTTTGAATCCTACTGTTATGAGAAGGATCAACGTTGTACCAATCAAATTTTGTAGCATGTGGAATGGGGTCATATCAAATTTGAGCAGGGTGATGAACATCAGAAGCAGCAATATACGCCCAGCCAGCTGCAAGTATGTTTTAGGCTTGTTTGGTGCATCAAGGGTTGGTACTCCAGCAAACAGAGTTTTTGCTTCCTGGTGGCATTCTGCAAGCAAAAGAATTAGGCCACCAACCAATGCAAGACTCCTAAAATGGCAAGAGAATAAAAAATGATTTAAGATCTTCAGCAAGCTGCAACTCTTTAATTAGGGTAACTATATGGAAATGATTTTCATATATATCTAGATGAGTGTTCAGCTATTCAAAATGTATTAGTCTAAAGATTTATAAGAAAAAAACACAACAGAATGAAAGAATAAACTATGGTGCAAGTTTTTTTCAACTTTAAGTGCATTTCATGACGCAACTGAACTGGCTATTATGTAGCTGATACTCTTACAGATACAGTCTGATATTTATTTTTAAGTCCTAGGTACCTAACTACTTTGTCCCTTTAATAATTTAAAAGGCACCAAATAATGTTTGTAGCTGAAACAGAGAAAAATACTACTTGCCAATTGTCAATTTAAAGTCAATTGACTTGGCAAAATCTTGTTCAACAGTCTCAAGAAGGTAAACCCCTTATGGTTAGGAAGTTGCCAAAATGTTATTTATATATGGTAATATGGCACTAATGAAAGCTTTATCAAAATAGATATCTGTTGCATTGGAAAAAACTCCCATTCTGATCATGAGATTCTTGGTCAAGATTGGATATAATACTATGAAAAATAAATAGCCATGTAGCATTTCTAAAAAATACAATGTCATCAAGGTACATTAACCAGCCAGCCTTCGAAGGTTTCAGATATGCATGTTATATCACCTGTCATGAGGTTTACATATGATAATAATATGCTGTATATTTCCTTAACTTTAATACTAGGTTAAATTTACAGAAAGCAGCTGTGATAATATCCTTTGTTTCAAATGTTTGAGAAGACCTGCTGTAAAGGAGCTGCACAGACTCTTGACAATATGGCAAGTTGTTTTTAAGATCAGCCAAAGTATTTGGCTAAACAATGTTAATTTGATTAACCAAAATGGACAATTCACTATGTTTGTATTGTGCTTATACTGAGACCCCTTCTGGCCTCACCTGAAACTTACAAAGTAGAACAATTAAGTTCCAGTTTCTTGCCAGTTTTCTCAAGATTGTGATGATGTGTGACTTGAGAGGACTAGTCAAACAACAATATGATAAACACAAACAAACAATTTCAATGGTCATTAGCAAAATTGGTAATAATTGAAGACAACATTCTACATTGGTAATTTTGGGCCTTAAAAGGTGTGAATTGAGCAAGATTGGATATTTGTACAAGGGTAAGCATCTCTAACTGCATGAATTCCATATCTGCAGGAAATAAAACATTCTTTATCCCTTTAAATTCCAGGACTATATTCTAAATCCCGTGTGTTAAATTGAAAATGAGCACAAGAAAGAACTGACAACATTAGAAGCAGTAGAGACTATGTTATCTCACCTCATAAGAAACTTGATATCCCATAGAATACTATAAGCAATAGTCTACAAAAAAAATTAATAATATGTTATCTATGGAAGGATATTGAAATAAAAAATTATCCAGGCTAAAATTTACTTATCCACACCATTGACCATTTGACTTGAATATTAAAAAAATAATCCGGCAAAATTTTTGGCTTGGCTGTGGTTTATTAAAGAACCTGAAAAATTGACTTAATACAATGTTCAGGTTGATAGATTAAGAAAAATCACAATCTACTTAATTTGAAAGGAATTAATGTTCATAAATGATTCAAAACTTCTTGTTAATGAACAAAAACGAGAGAAGTGATATGGCTACTGTCTTGCATTATCGATTTAAAAATACCTGTCTAACCGTAACCTCGGCTCAATCAATCAAGGATGCATAGTATTCTTTTATTCAAAGGAAATATAACAGGAAGTTGTGAAGTGATTTAATCGTGGTTCCATAGGGTATTTCTTGACATATTCTCTTTTCAAACAGGAGCATCACTTCAAACACTGTAATGTATTTTAACTACTTCCTCTTTTTCTATGAACACAAAGGTAATAATACGTAGTGGCCTAGGAAGGTATGCCACTAGTTACCTGAAGAAGAATAATCCCAAACAAGCCACCAACTGCTATTTCAACTTTCTTTCTTGATAAAACCATGAAACAAGCTCCTAACTGACCAAACAAGTTGATAATAACAAACAAAGTTGCTAAAATTTGGCCGCAGCCCCATTGGGCGTCAATATAATCGCGCTGCTCGTGCCATTGGAACCACATACGAATTCCATCTTCGAAGAAAGTCGACACAAGACAAAATCGAGCCACGTGTGGAAGGTAGTGCTTGGAATGGCGTAAGAAATTATCGGCAAAATCTTCTGCCTTGGACATCATCTCATTCTGGGGTGAGTTAGGCATCTTGAAAAACAATTGTACAGTTCTTTCCAGGTGAGATACAACAAAAGTGGGCAGTCAATGTGCCTTTCCTTGCCACAGGTTAGTCCACATCAGGTGCTCTGTTTTCAATGAGCTAGCGCGATCGAGGCTGAAATGCCACGTTGTGAACAACCATGTCATGTGATCAATATCGCCCTAAGATGGTAGCACTGGCCACCAAAAAAATTAAAGAAGCAGCTTTTTGAAATGAGAACATAGCCTTTTCCAAGGGAAATAAGCTGCGGGACAAGCCTTTGCTTGTATAAAGAGGAGGAAAATAGACTATCATTTGAAACAATTGAAAGTAACTGGGCCTGAAGGGCAGGGACGGAATTGGGGGGAGGGGGTGGGGAGTGGGAGGTTGTGCGAATATTTTTGCGTCTTTCGCCAAATTCGGTTAAAATCATTTTTTGGTACTTGGTAGTAATCAAATATCGCCAAGATTTTACTAAATTAATCTTCTCAATCTTTTTTATCCTAAAAGACCAAATTTAAAAATGGGCGTTTCTATCATTTTCCAGTGACCTGTAGGGTGTTGCACCAAAATCCAATTATTAACTAACATCCTTCAAATCCTTGCCACTTACGTCCACCTCTTCTGGAGGGGCAATTGCCCCCTTGCTACTGTGTTAAAAAGACACTGAATGAGAAACAGTGGCGAAAACAGCGACTGAAGTGATTCTGCTGAAAATGCAAGATTTCTTCTTTCTTGACTTTATTTTTGCTCCAATGGACACATATTTTTCAATTAGTGATAGCAATGAGAGATGACTCTAACCCCATTATCTGTGCCCCATGTAAAAGATCCCAAAACCAAGAACAGAAAAATCTACCCATCAGAAATATCTACCCCGAAAGCGGAGGGGTGCCTTGACACACTAATTTTCAGAAGGTAAATTCGAGAACCTAACAGTGAAAATGAAAGCCCCACCCCCATATTTCGAAACCCACCTCGGCCCTTGCGCATCCCCATACTGCACTTTAACCAAATATTGAAAAATTAACAAAATCTTTTTCGAATAATAAACAAGAACTAACAAATTACTTCCCTATTGAATGCCATTAGTTGGATGATCTGAAGGGTAAAGTGTTTTTAAGGATTTCTTACGGACACCTGTTCTGACGAGAAGTAGGCCTAAACTTTGAAATATTGCTGACGTCCCTCGTTAAATTTCAATGACGTATTATTGACTGGATAAGCAAGGCCGCTTCAAGAAGTAAGAAAACTAATTTTAGAAAAGGATTCATCATCACTTGTTTTCAAGTAACGGAATATGATTTGTGTTTTCTAATGAAGGGTAATACGTCAAGAATAGAGATCAAGTATCCAAACTAAAAAAGCGTCCCCTTTGCAGTATGATATAGAGTTCACACCTACCCCCTTTGATTTTATCGGGCAATTCTTCGAAAAATGTACCAAATAGATTTCTTTGATGTTTACATCCATGCAATCATAATTCCTATTATGTCTCATGGCTACTACTCGACTGCATTGGGCTAGGTCGCTAGGATAAGACCAATTTTACCGCAGCAGCAAGTTCTAAACCAAATGGCTTTGTCATTGACCAGTATAATAGTAAACAGATGTAGTTTTTGTTAATACAGCAAGCTAGAGATAAATGTACATGTAGTTATATATTCAAAAAAACAAGCAATGAATAGACCAGATATACCATATGTACCCCTGTGATTGGTTTTGGCGGGAATACGTCATTTTTACTCGTCGCTATTATCAGATGAACGATAAAAACTTACATTTTTGAGCAATAAACTAAAAACTGAAAGAGATGAAAAAGATTTCGTTTTTCGAAAAGAAAGAAACAATACATGCAGTATTCAAACTCTTTCTTTTGGAAATTGTAATTTAGTAAGGCTTGTCATTAGGACAGCAGCTTATGGGTTGCAAACTGGGGTAAGTACAACTTTGATTTTTCAGTATGAATATAAAGATCCATTTCCATATCAAAATCATCCGATTGGAAACAGTATATTCTGCCCCGGCCTCCCTAAGACAGCTTAACAAAGTGTTACAAATTTTAACGTCACCTTATGATAAGCCTAATCAGCATATCACTTGCGACTGTTGAGGCAATACACTCATTTTTTAATAAGAAACAAAGGTCGATGGAAATTTCAATACTCACTGTTTCTTAAGAGTTTCTTAATTATGGTGTCATGAATGACGTTATCAAAATGTTCGTGACCTTTTTGATCACGTCAAGAGATTCGCTTCCGTTCCGATGCTGTATTTAGATGTGGGAAGTATATTTTTATCCCTTATGTCTTAAGTTCTAGGCCAACAGGGCAATCTTGCTCTTGGATTTTACAAATTTTCGTTGTTCTCAGTTTTATCATGATTTTATAGTTCTTAATTGTTTTGCCACCAGTACTGAAGTTTCCTAATCTTTCTGACTGTCCAGTACTCGTTTCTTATAGCCAGCTTCTTATAAAAAAATGAGTGTACAGTAGTGTTTTGAAAGCCATACTAGCACATAGCCACAATTTGATAAACACACCAAACGGTTAGTGGATAGCATTTATAGCTTATGAAATATACTACAGACATCTGAGGTAGACTTGGACTAAAATCGTATGCCGTCGAACATAGCGTATACTGTAACCAACACAAAAATCGTCGGAATTTCCGAGCACCAAAAAGGCAACAATATTTGTTATCTTGTCTTTGTCAATGTCATAATTAAAATTCATCTCTGCAATCGAGCTTCTTGTTACTTCTGAGAAGTTTTATATCTCAATTTAGTTGAAAAAATGAGTGTGCAAATCTAAGTACCTGGTGGTTATTACGAACAAGTGGTGCCTTCATATTTCAATTTTGCTGATTCTTTTTAATAGCAAGGAATCTCAGGCAATTTACAGCAAAATAAATCGTACAAAGAGACATTATATAAAGTTTTAACAGAATATTTTCGATTGATTTCAATTCGAAAAAGGTATCTCTTTTGAAAATGCATTCATTTATCTATACCAACAGTGTACTTAATTTATATTCAAAAATTTGAGTGAAACATAATAATTTCAATATAACTACGGGATAGATGTAACTTTCCACAGTTTTATTGTACAGTCATCTGAGCATGAAGCAAGCAATGAGGAGTCTTTGGGGTTCCATTTGACACAATTGATATCTTGTGAATGGGCCTACACAGACAGAAAGACGCATTAAAATAACAAACACTTTGTTTGAACGAGCAAATATCTATACTTTAATCAAAGCTTTATGGTGACAAAAGATTTTAAAAACCTCCTAACTCGATTAAAGAAACTTTGGGTGAAAACTTGGCTAAGCAGAAAAATACTTTTTTACGAAAAAGTCTGAATTAAGCTGAATTACTGCTTGTTTGCATACAGAAAACGAGGTAGCTTTTTAAAAAGACCAGTCATTTTGTTCTGTAAACTCACTACATAATTAAATGAATTATAACACTCTAAAAACTAAGCAATAACTGCTTGGCGAGTACACAAGAAACAAAAGCCAGTGATAGTTTTTTTGCAATTTTCCTTCTAAACTAAATGTAAAGCTCAAACCAAACCAAAAGCAGGTCGCAGCATAACAAAACAACACAACAGTATCACCAAAAGAGAGAAAGGGCTGGCAGCTTTTGTTCCTTTGAGCAAGATTCTAGTTCTACTGGAAAATGGCCGCGAGGGAACTTTTCAGACATCCCCGTGATGAAACCATTTAAAATGCAACTGACTGCAATTATTGATTACTCAAAAGGTATTCCTCTTACCTTTGTTACGTTAGCAACAATGACAAAGTTTTCTGAAGTCTCTGTAGTATTTTCATTATCCTAAAAGGTGATATATTACATAAGAGGATATGAAACGAAGAATACCTAACAAGTGCCACAACCCATAAAGACATGACAAATAGTTGAATGCAAAACAATTTTCTGTATAAAAGAAGAAATTGTCATCCAGGTTTCGTGTTTCCAGGATTGCTGTTAAAAATTCTGTGCATATAAAAATCTGAGTACCACCAGAACAATTTCAAAAAATAAAATAGACAAAAATTGCTCAGCAAAACATCTAGCTGTTTTTTGGATTTTTGACCATAGTTGAAATATCACTTGTTTTTTCATGTTTCTACTTAAAATAATTCTAATGCCACTCAGATAAAACCATTAAACAGCTAAGACCTGAAAAAATATGAAGAGAATTGAAAAACAGTAATAAAACAAATTTATAACAAACAGAGATTCTGGAAACAGACAAGTTTCAAGGGTTGGAAATTCTGGAGCAAGCATTATCTGTAAACATCAACCAATGCTGTGCCAAGCAGACAATGCTAGTGGCAGAAGCATTGACTATAATTTATATAAAACAGAGGAAAAACACTTGTTCCTTTGCAACACTGTTCAGTCAATAAAAAGAATTAATTCAGTCCGTAACGGAAAGGGCAACAAAAATCGTTAACAAAAATCTTAAATAAATTTGCTTAACGATTTCATAAATCGATTAATTTTCTGTTTTATTCAGTGGAAAACGCACCCTTAGAGGAAATCTCAGTTAATGGAGAGTACGATGGGTTATAAAACTAGTATAGAAAAGAAAAAACTTCAAACTCACTTCTTTAAATATTTTCATCGCATCATCTGCACCGCATGAAGCTATGAGGCCAGATTCATGAGACCTATCAAAAAATGGAATTACAAAAAAATAGAGAAAACACGAACAAAAATAAGTAAATTTGGCACCTTTTATTTCTTATTGTTCATACATAAGAAGTGAAAAGCTTTGAAAGAAAAAAACAAAAACTTGGTGAATCTTACTGACATTAATGGGCGATAGAAATCTTTGTATCTCTGCTGCTAGCCAATGAACAAGTCATAAATAATATTCTTATAGATCAAAACCTTTGACAATTCATTTGATTTATATTGTGAAATTCATATTTATCTTTCCTATCTAAAAATATGCTGTATGGAGACTTCCATTTCAGCGCCCCTTGTTCCTTTTCGCCCTAGAGGCAACTGTTTCGCCTCCTACCTTTGTTTAACCAGTGACATCTATATCTATTTTTTTTCTCTGTCCCTAAAGATTACGCACTTCAAATCAGAAGAATCTGCGCAGATATAATACTATACAAAATGAGATATGGCAACAAAAATGGTGAGCAAAATTTTTGTTTGTTGAGCTGAATATGTCTATATTTGTAACAGAGGATGCTAGAGTAGCTCTTCCAGTAAAAAGGTTATACGGTTGTATTACTCAGCCGGATCATAATGCAAAAACTTGACCTTGACAACGTAAACGAGAGTAGAAACCCATATATTTGACTTCTGCTGAAGGAAACTAAAAAATTAAACTATAGAAGACATTATACTAAAAAGTTTGTTTAAAGACTCGTACCAATCTACGTCATATACACTACGCGTGTGATAGCCTGAGAGGGTAGAAATGCACTTCCATTTCGGATCTTTGCCAGTAGCAACAATACCTTAAAATTAAAAGAACATATAAGATTATAACTCTCTGCCTGGAGTAATGTATATGACATTGTACAATCATGCTATATAAACTCTGATTAGTTACATTGACAACGGAACTCAGAAAATATCGAAAAAAGAGCAAAGAGAGTATAAACGCTTAGAGAGTCATCAGCTGAAGTATTTTCCTGAATTTCATCATGTTTATGGCCTTATTCACACAACAGAAACTAACGTAGGTTCAGCAGAAGTTGGATCCTATCTTGTGAACAGACCTGATTAGGGTTCAAACTGGGTTAGATTTGACCCAACTTCTTAGGCAGTTTCGACCTGGCTCATGCTGCTAAAGAAATAAATACAATTTTGACTGGAAAATAAATATGAAGAAGTCAACACATCAATTTTAATGAATTCGGACAAACCTTGTTGATTATCTGGAAGAAAGGATCTCCATATTTTTAGGGTTTTATCGTCACTGCCAGAAACTGTAAAACAAAAACACCTTAGGTTTTATACAGATAAATTGATGCTATAAAACTTGAATAGCAACTTCTAACTTTACTAGAATACATAATTTTGAAAGTGAATCTAGCAGATCCATAAGAAGAGGGGTACAATGATATTGATACACAATCCTGGTAAACCTAGCATTACATATTGCCAATCTCAAATCTATAAAGTAAGAGTCATGAACAAAGCAAAACAATAATGAAAATCCAACATTTTCAGAAATAGAATTTAAAATAACTCAAATGCTAATATTTTGCCTGCAAAGCCCAATCTCCAGTGAGAAAAAGTCTTGCAAAATTTCGCTGCGAAATACTTCACGTGACAAATTCCTTTGAATGCTTTTGTTGACCTCACAACATTGAAATGTAAAGTTTGGAAGCGTGGCAAAGGAATACGTAATATGTTTGGCTGTTGAAGGATTTCGCAAGCGAAAAGCGAAAAAGTTAAACTCATTTCAACTTTTTTTTCGCAGAGAAATTCTTCGCGAGAAATCCCAGCAAAAGATAACTGCGCATGCCCAAGACGTATTTCGCGCAAACTTTTTCGCATTTTGCTGATTTTTTTCTCACTGGAGATTGGGCTTAAAGTCAGGGCTTCATCAGGGCAAATGTCATGAGCTCTGATGAAGCCTTGTATTTGTCATTGTATTTGTATTTGGGTTCTACTAAAGTTTTTGTCATCAGAATACGCAGATTCCATTATGAGCAATAAACATATGCCTTTCAGCTGATTTCAACTATTCTATGGGGATAGCCGTATTCTTATAATTGTCATGGTGCAGGCTGTTTGATGAAACCTCTATGAAATTGAAAAATAGGAAAGTAGAAGGGTAACAAATCCACAGTAGAAAAGTAACAATAATACACAAAATGCCAGGAAATGTCATACCTAGCCGATTTCCTGTTTTGTCAAATGAAATTGACCATACGGTGGAAGAATGGCCTCTCAGAGTATCATAACAATACCTAAGAAGACAATGATGGCAGCTTTATTATGCTATATAGAACAAGAATATTTGGATATATGGGATCAAGCACTATGTGAAAGACAAATTAACAGCAATCTCCATAAAGAAATAGTTAAAACTCAACTAACCAATCATCTTCATCTTCTTTGTACATGTTTATAGTGTCATCGTAACTACAAGATGCTAATACCTGTATCAAACAAGAGGAGAATTGTTCTGAGTAATCTGCATTTCATGGAGATCTCAATCATAAAGATCTGTCTCTTGCAAATTAATAAGCTAACAATTTACACAAAATTGATTACATTTGGATTATGATTTGTTTGTGCCCACCTTATAAATCATGTAAGTGCCCACCAAAGCATTTGATATCAATGGATGAAAACAATGACCCAATAGAGTAGATTGCCTTGCAAATTATCAAATCTAAATCTCGCTATGGAATCTCTATTGACCTGTTAGAACATTGTATAAATTATGGAAACCACAAATTTGATTTCTTGAATGACTTGACTTGAATGACACTGTTTCATAAAAATCTATGTTTATAGAGCACATTTACCAGTGGGTGAAAAGCGTGTTGAAAGTTATTGATGGGAAATGCTCAGCTCAGGATAGGAATCCATTTCTAGCAAGCAATTGAAAACACACAACATATACAAATACGACAGAAAAATTCAGCAAAATACACAATACCTCACTATTTGGATGCCATAAGACCTTTTTCACATCCTGAGTATGTCTGTTCAGAACACTTACACATTCATAATCTTCATCTTCAACTATAACAAAAGGTCAGAGCTGAATAAGTTACACAAAATGTAACTTCATAAAATATATACAGATAGCATAATTCAATTGCAAGTCAAAAAAGATATGAGGACATTTTTGCATAGCAAATTATCTGGCAATAATTCTGCCCACCTTCCCAAATCCAGACACTTTTGTCTCTACTGCAAGTAGCAATGAGAGAACCTGAAGAATTCCAACTGCATGACTTCACTTCATTCTCATGGCCTTCTAAAGTTGCTATGCTTTCGAATTCTAAAAAAAGAGAAGGATGACAAATATTTTAGAATTTTCATAATTCAAGCAAGTGAGATGGATTAGGCACTTCCACAGAATTAGACATGTCATACTTTAATACACAAAGCCTCAGTTTTTCTGAGAAGTTTCTTGAAAAGTCACAATGTTACAAATGTTTCTAAAAGTGATTAATTGTTCCTGTCATCAAGGTAAATAATAAGGACTCTTTTCTTATGGCATGCAGTCCTTTTCGTGAGCAAAATTACGCGCGTGTGGCAAATCGCACATGTAAACAAATTTGCGCGTGCGATCGCACTTGTAAGAAAATTTGAAGTACAAACCTGATAAAATTGGTAAAAGGAGCAAGAAGGAAAAAGCCACTCGAATACGTGCAAGAGCAAAACTCAAAATTAATCAATACATAACAGATGTTGTTGCCCTTAGCAGCCATCTTTTAAAAGTCGTCGTCACTCTCCAAAGTTACAAGAGCAAGTAAAAATTGTTTCCAACAGCTACTTGCTTTCAGGGCCTAATTACGTTTTGACAGGAAATCAGTTATTACACTTAACATGCTAATGGCGAATTAGCTGAAAGACGAGACGCTAAGTTGAATGGAGCACTCAGTCAAAAGCCAAACATCACTTCCGAAAATTGGAAAAATCATATTGTGGTCAAAAGTGCGAATCAAGTAACAAGGGAAAGGATAAACAATCATGAGACCATGGGAAATTGATGTTAAAAGGCCTCTCCAGCAAAAAAAATTTTTTTTAATGACTTAAAAGTTAGCATCTGGTGCGTGTATTATGACAAAGTCATTGTTTTTGAAAAATTCCAATTAGTTTAGAAGTTGTGAGGCTTTACAGTTGCACCTTTCCGAGAAAAAAAACGACAAAAGCCGAATCAGTTTGGTGACATTCTGACGTCACAATGTGCGGCTCTCGTTCGCCATGAATTTAGTATATCTTCCACCGAAGCGTGAAGGACTCATGGTCACGCGTTGATAACTGCATCCAGTTCCAGTTCCTGTTCCAGCTTTTCCCTCGCGTATAATTAATCGAAATTGTCACTTCAGTTGTTCTCCAGAAACGATGAACAACTAAAGGCTTCAGAATTGGTGTCTGAAATGCTCAAACTAAAAGCTGGTGGAACAGAACTGAGAGTACCATCACTTGCAGTGTTCAATTTGCGAATCGCCGTCGTTCGATTCGGTTTGAGGCGAGACTATCCGAAATACACTGTGACGTCAAAATTGCGTCACAGTGTCACCAAACCAAAAATTTTTGTCGGTTAATTCAATTAAATTATCGAAATGCAAGAGCTTATATCTCACAAACTGTAAAAAAATATCGAAAAACAAATAACGAATTCGTGATCAGCAGGCTCAACTTCTTTATAAAAATTGCCAATAAAATGCAAGTGCAAAATTTGGCTGGAGAGGCCCTTTAACAGAAAACTGCAAAAACACCTGTTTGCGCGTGTGGTCAAAAGCACGCGCAATTTAACTTGCGCGTGTGCAGGCGTGTGCGGGTGCGATCGCACGCGCTAAACGAAAAGGACTGGGCATGACATAGGCCACTTGATCGATTATTATGTTGGCGATATGTCTAAAAACACTAGAAAACTTTTTTCTTATTTACTAAAAAGGAAAATTATTTTCTATAGAGAAATATAAGTCTTTTTAGAATATATTCATACTTTTTCTACAAGGCTTTCCTTTTGTATATCAAAATAGGCCTATATAAAAAATACAAGCACAAGTCTGGTATACTTGTCCAATCAGTGCTGTGTGCCAAAAGAGAAATGTAACAGTTTCCATACCTCCACTGCTTCTATTCCATATTGTAACAGTCCCATCAAAGCTTGCTGAAGCCAACATGTTTCCACAAGGTGACCATATAACTAGAGAATTAGTGCAATAGTAGGAATTACTCTGGTAGAAAATGATTTGATTTATCAAACCACAGAATTTAAATAATAAGAAAATGTGAAATTGCACAAAGAGTAGAAAAATACCTAATGGTACAAATGTGCTTATTAAAGGTTAAAAAAGAATTTTAATAAGAAGTCTCTCTAATTGAAATCAGTGGATTATGGCAACAACAAGTAGGAAATCAAAAACTACTGCTATGGCAATAATTTTAAAGTAGTTTAAATCATTGAAAAATAGTTCTTAAAAAGTAAAGAGCAAATCAAAGCAAATCAGGCATTCTTTAAAATTATTTTAAGCTATTTTCAAGTAAGTTTGTTACGACTTAGCCTGATTTAGTTTTACAAAGATTATGCCAAATACTTCTTTGATGATCAACATTATTTGTTTAATGAAGCCATATCATTTGTTGTCATTATAAATTTTTCCCAAATGTTTGAGCAACAAAGGCAAATAGGACAGTAACCTCCTAGTGTAGCAGAGCTTAGAGTAGCATAAAACTGATTTGCAACCTAACACATTTTGAGAATAAAAAGTATCCACTATCAAAAGGGGTTAAAGCATCTCTAAAGCCAATCTGTATTGAAACAATATTTTTACAAGAAACAGTAAGTGCCATGACCTTCCTAGGGAGGGCTCTTGTCCTCTTTGGCTCTTGGTCTTTTGTCAGAATCTTGTCTATATAGTCAATCGCAGCAAAATGTTTTCAAAAACAAATTTAGAGAGACACTTTTGAACCTGAGGAAGTCAGGCTTTAGAAGGTTGTAGCAGCCTCACTTGATTTGGTCTTTTCTTTCTACAAACTGTTTCTTGCTTTCTTGTGTTTTCACTAGCAATGAAGCTTAAGCAGCTAATTGTTATCAATAAAATGTTAATGTCATCAAATTTTATTTCTGTTTGAAAGATAAATAGAGACCTCTTTTATATCAAAGATCAGCCTTCTCCAAAAAAGAGACTGGGCCCCTGATTAACATTAGGAACATTGTGAATATAAGTTAGTCACATCAATGAAATACCTGATCTAATTGTTCTTGTGTGTCCCTCGTCTAGAATGGTTTTGCAAACCCATTTCTCTCCTTCTTTGCCCCAAATTCTAATTTATGACGGTCAAAGGCAATCTTAGATGTTGATGTCAAAATAAGCATATATAAGAATCATGAGCAATAAGAACATAAGCAAGAATCATAGGCAATGGTAAGATATGCTCACAGTATTAATAGCCTTCTAATTTGAAGCTTCAAAGTTATTCTTAATGAGATCTTAGAAAAGGATATTGTTTTATCACCAGAACAGGTTGCAAGAAGACTTCCACTTGGACTCCATGCTAGATTCCAAACCCTTTCTTCATGTCCTAGAGCAAAATAATTAGAGTATTAGCTGGTCCATTGATTATTCAAAATTCTTTGAGATAGCTCCAGAGTAGAAACTAGGGAGCAGGGGTGGATCAAAGTGTTATTATTGTTTAGAATTTTATAATAACTTTATGCCAGGATGGTCTGTTCTTTCTATGATTCTTCAATGGCTTAGAAAGCCTTTCCTAATAAAGCAGTAGCTGAAAAATGTTGCTAGGGTTGTATCAATAAAACACCGGAAGCAAAGGTCAGCCATGCACTAAAAACCCGTTGTGGTAGTAGCCCTTTCCCCATTATTAGAAATCAACTCCAGACTCAGGTAGCTAAAATGATGTGGACCAGGAGATTTAATGTTAAACTTCATGTCTCAGAACCACAATATGGTGTTGCTGGTAATTGAGACCCAGTTTTTGAGGTTTGCCTGAAAAGAATTAATTTTTTATAGCTATCAAAACCATCACTATACGTATGCCCCTAATCTACATTATTTTCCTTTCTTGACAGGAAAACAGACACAACATAACAGAGGTTTGAAAGCCCAATTTCTTCAACAAAAACGCTAGTAGGGTGGGGGCAAATCACATGTTTTAGTTATAGTCTTAGATCAGCAAAACCGAGGTGGCTGTTTTCTTTGGGGGAGAGTTTCTTTGCTGTTAATCTGCTTATTGTTTACATTACTAAAAAGGCCCTTCCATCCTGTTAAAAGGATTGCATTCCTACCACCAAAAAGAGTCCTATTATCTATGTTTCACCTTGTTAGTGGTTGCATCACTTCAGCAACTGGTGTATCACAAAGCACATAGATAGTTTGTAATTAGCCAGACCAGACATGTCTCGTGTGTTTTGCTTGATACACATGCTTGAGACACATATCAAAACAGAATTCTCAAGTACTAAACAAACAAGTTGTATGTCTCTTCTCCATCTTCAGTTTTTTCCAAATCCTAGCAAAAATCCTTAATCTCTTATTGGGCCCAGCTACAGAATTTAAGTGATGTCATATATTGATCAGAGAGGTAGTTCAGATGATCTTCATGCCTATATACATGAAAACAGGTTAGCACATTTGCAACTGAGACCCCTACTAAACTATTACCCTCTCCCAGATTTTCAGCTCAGGGGGATGTGTTTCTTTCAGATTGTACTATTTTGCAATCATGCCGAGTAAACGAAACAATGCAGGTTGAAAGCAAAGCTCTTTCTCAGTAAAGTTTTCAAGGAGAATGAAGAATTTTCACAAACCCTCTAAAACAGCCAACTCTTTAACAGTAGTCGACATCACTCAACCATTTCTCTATCCATAGGCCAAGTGTGGCATTCAATGATATACAAATTTATCAGAGCGAGGCTAATTTGGAGAGCCTTTTTTCAGCGGGAATATTTTGTTCCTGTTGTTGTTTTATCGGAATCATGTGTAGTGTAGTAATTTGAAGGCGAAAAACTGATTGCAAAAAGGCCGGAATCTTCCTTGCTTTAAAACTCATAGTTCTGGTAAGTTCTCATTTTAATCTCCTTTATATTTCTCTCGAAGTATCATATCGTACAAGATTAAGGCAGGAGGGGCAGTGTTGGTGCTGAGGGCAAAAAGTAGAATTTTTTCACTATCATAATCCAGTACTTGTGAGGGCGGGTTATACAAAATAACATATTTGCATGCATCTGTGCCACCCGTACAATTTGGTTTTTTGCAATCAAAGGCTCTACTGTTCTCTGAGGGTGTTGCTTTGATGATTTAGAGCAGAGGTTCTTGGGTTTGGTTTTACAGATAGCATGGCAATTATAAATGGGCTGGTTCCAAAATTTTGATTGTTCGCTTAGTCTCAATACTCTATGATTGCAGAATCATTGAGAATGTAAAAAGAAAAAAATAATAATCACAGCATATTTAAGGGCACTGCTTGCCCCCTTTGCCCCTCCTGGAAGAGGGCAGGAGATGCAGCTGTCCCTTTACCCCTCCAGCCAGGGTAGGCACCCCTGGTTTTACGATCCCAAAGAGTCACATCACAGTCGAAGCTACGGGTTGCAATGTATGGCTGATTTTCACAAGATTTCATGTTTGGTCACAGCCCGTGGGCCCACACACCTCAGGTGCAGGTGTATAAAAATTACCCTGAAATGCCAGGTGTGCCAGCAGTATCAACGTTTTGAGTCTACAATTTGAAAGATCTAATTTTCAAGTCAGCAGTCAGTCAGCAGAATGTCTTCATCTTGACATTGGTTGAGCAATGTTGATCATGTTTCATCTGACCCCAAGTAAGGACACCTAAATATATGGTTGAACCTCTTTATAAGGTTTTGCAGTACTGTAAATCCTTGAATTGGCCCCCTCGAAAAAGCCCCCCCTCTCAAATAAGCCTCCACCCTAGAGCTAAAAAATTGTCAATAAGCCCTCCTTGAATAAGCCCCAACTGCTACTGTAAATCCTCGAATTGGCCTGCCTTGATTTGTTTATTGTTGTCATCTAAGGTTGCCTTTGGTGTTTTATTAATTACCACAAAAATCCACAAAAAATTCTGGGGATAATTACAGTAATTGAATGTTTATAAAAAAATCCTACTAAAATTCATGAGGTCTTTTGATGTCCTCATGATGTCTACTATAATTCTATAAGCCCCCCTCATGTAAGCCCCCCTCAAACACCCAACATACAAAAATTTGAAAAAAATAGATGAGCCCCCAGGGGGCTAATTCAAGGATTTACAGTAAGCCAGTTAAACTGTATGGCTTTGCTGTACTAACTTTTCTAAGCTCTACCATTAGCAGGAATCAACCTAGACGTTACTCCACCATACAATATAACATTATAAACTGACTGTCTTGATCATTTAGGGGAAATAAACTTGTACTCTTATTGCTCTGTTCACCTCTACAAAGTATTATACAACTGAAGGATTTGTTCAATAAATGCTCTGTCATGAATAAAAAGGGGTGTAACAAATAATAATGCCATTATAATTTATGCTTTACTGTGAAAACAAGAGTAATGCAACAACATAAAGTTGAATTTGGTACTTTATTTGAAATATGGAGCTGATTAAGGCTTTTTAAAGAAGATAATGGGCTTGTGTTTGTAACCCTGCATATTAAAACAATGCTGACTATAACAGTGTCATAAGATTGCATCTTTGAACATCATGTTTGACCATTTTAGTCTTGAGGTGTATAAACGCTTAAGCTAAAAGAAAAAGTAGTGTTAACAAGTGATCAAGCGCTTTATAAAACAGGAAATCTTTCCATTTTGCAAATCCTGCTGCTGTTTCTATGAAGTGAATCTTTAATGTCTGTCAGGTATGCATTTTGATGTCATTTTTGTATTTCTCATAGCTGACATTTATTTATAAAAGTTTAATATGATATCTTCTGATAATTTATTTTTCTGGTTTTGATGCATGCCCAGCAGATATTAACAATTCTAGAGATAGAAACAACAGCAGGGGTTGTAAAACTGACAAATTCTTAGAAAAAGAGATTTATTTACTAGTTTATAACTTTTTTCATTAGATAAAGGCATAATTTTTTTCATTACTGATGTTTGAATGTAAATTAAAAAATGTATACTTACTGCAATTAACTGAGATTATTGTCAAAAATCTACAGTGGGATCTAGTTGCACTAAGAGCCCGTTGTGCAACTCCAGCAACTAGGGCATTTAAAAATAAAGCATCATTTATGGAAAGCAATACTTATTACCATTGATGAATTAGTAAAATGATATTTTCTGTTGGATTGGAATTGGAACTTATAGCAAAATAGGATTGCCCGAGTTGCCCGAGTTGCTCAAGTTTTCGACCTGGCCTTGGGATATTATACATTAATAAGCATAAAGATTTACAAGCATCGCCAAACCCTCACATTTGCATGACTTGCAGCAATTCTTTAACATCCAATCTGGATTCTTCTTGCATTCTCCATCTCTTGCCCATTCACTGCACCTTGCATCACTGTCTGAACAATTCTCACCTTGTCTCCAAGCTACAAATATTGTTTTCTTGTTATTTGAAGTACAGAAAAATATTTTTTAACAGTATAAAACCATTAACCTTAATGAAAATTGTACGGTTGTGATAAAAAGGTCATCACAAATATGTTATTCAGATGTCTGGTATCAGAATTTGTTATTAATTATATGTATTCTAACATTTAAAAATTATTTGAAGCTGGTTAGAATATTAGACATGAAAAAGCATAAAGATTTACAAGCATCACCAAGACCCTCACATTTGCATGACTTGCAGCAATTTTTGGACATCCAATCCAGATTCTTCTTGCATTCTCCATCTCTTGCCCATTCACTGCACTTTGTATTGCTGTCTGAGCACTTTGCACTTTTTCTCCAAGCTACAAAGATTTTAAACACTGTCCCCGGTGAAAAATCTTGCAGGATCCTGTATAGGATCCTCGCAGGATCCTCACAGGATATTGGTAAAGGATCCTACAGGATCTTGTGCAAGATTCTGTACAAGATCCTATAGGATCTTATAGGATCTTAATAAGATCTTACAGGATCCTGATAAGAATAAAAGTATTCCTTAAAAGATCTTAATAGGATCCTATGTATTTTTTGAACCTTAGTGAAAAATCTTGCAGGATCCTGTATAGGATCCTATATAGGATATGTGCAGGGTCCTGAATAGGATCTCATCAAGATCCTGTAGGAAATGATTTGGGTCTTGGACAGGATATTTTTAAGATCCTGTATAGGATCTAATCAGGATCCTGTATATGATCTAATCAGGATCCTGTATATGATCTGTTCAGGATCCTATATATGATCTTATCAGGATCCTGTATATGATCTGTTCAGGATCCTATATATGATCTTATCAGGATCCTGTATATGATCTAATCAGGATCCTGTATATGATCTAATCAGGATCCTGTATATGATCTGTTCAGGACAGGGGCGGACTGGCTAATTATTTTGGCCCGGGCAAATTTTGATCAAACCGGCCCACAATAATAGCAAATAAAAAACTCCTCGGAAAATACAAGTAAATGTTAGTCTGTAATGAAAACAAGTTTTTAAATTCAGTAATTTTGTTTATGGATGAATGCTGGTTAACAGAATATGGTTAACGGAACATGTTAAATATGTCATATGCTGACTAAACAGTAAATAAAAAAAATTGTAACTTCTTGGTTTGACTCTGATTCTAAATACAGGAACTTATATGTTGATAATGCTATCGTTCTGGATGTCATTTAACAGGTGCTTTTCTAAGAACATTAACATGAAGGACTCCAGGTTTGGCTGCGAAAAATTACTACGTAACCTGTTCTTTATTTATTTAAAGTGGAAAGGCTTCTATCACACTCCACTTGTGACAAATAATTTTCTAATCCTCCGGAAAACCACAATGATTTTCAGCAACCCAAAAATATCAATTTGTCAATTTCTGACCCCAAAAAGAAAACATGGGCACCCCTGTTGAAATTTTATCGTGTAGCACCTTACCATAATGTTGGGCAGGGGGTGCATTTGACTTATGATAGTTGGGCCTAATAAACTTTCCATAACTTGTTTTAGTTTATTGAAAGGAGCAAGAGCAAGACCCTGCTGTTTTTTGTGATGTTTGTGGCTTTTGCTTGATAAAAAAGCTTTGTATCGTAGCTGAATCCTTTTTTTAAGTCTCGCAGCTATTCCTCGCGAAATTTCTATGCACCACCTTTGATTGAAGTCTTCTTGCTCTTCCTCGTTCTACGTATGTCCTCTTTATTGCTCCAAATCAAAGAGCAAATCGCTTAGTGAACTCTAATAACTTTTAAATTTATTACATTTAGCAATAGCTTGTGCTTAGGCAAAAACATGACCAGCTTCAAGCAAAAGCTAAGTAAGAAGACATCAAGGCAGGTTAAAATCTTATGTATCGCCTTGAAACAGGGGTGTTACAGTATAGTATGTCGCCAATAAGAAAATACCATCAAGAGAAAATATAACAATAACATGTTTCCTGAAGAAGTGTGTCTGTGCTTAATGAATTCATAATTTTAATGGTTTTCGAGTACTTGCATGTATATTTATTCTTTCCCACAATTCAAATTCAAGTGTCTCTGAAAATTCAAGGCAAACAGATCAACGCGTGGGTATACTTTTTAAGCTAATTTATTTTTTTGCACTTTTATCAGCCGGCCCTCAAACCGACCGGCCCTTCGGGCGATCGCCCGAATAGCCCGACCAGCCAGTCCGCCCCTGGTTCAGGATCCTATATATGATCTTATCAGGATCCTGTATATGATCTAATCAGGATCCTGTATATGATCTAATCAGGATCCTGTATATGATCTGTTCAGGATCCTAATAAAGGATATTGTAGGACCTTCTACCAAATAAGAGTTCAAGAAGTAGATCTGTAGAGAGCAAATCAAGTTTCATGTGATTCACATTTGATAAAGTCACAATCTTTGTATACTACATCTTCATCAACTATGCTTAATTTACTAGTTTGTCAAGACATTTCTGTTTAATTGTTCTGTTTATAACCTCACTCTGCTTTGCTGTATTTTACTCTCTTTAAACTGCATTGAAAGCACCTAGAATGAGAAAAGATTTAAAATTTCAAAAAATAGAAGGTTCCAGATGAATCATAAGGATTTGAAATTGGTTTTAATTTTACATTGTAAAATTAAGTCTTGAAATGTCTTACGATGAAAATCTCGCAGAAGGGTGACTGTTTTGCATAGCCATGCCCTTTTTCCATCAAGTACAAGAAAGGATGGTGCAACGGACCAAAGGGGACTACTAAAAAAATGCTATTCAGAGAATCATTTTCTGGCGCCTCATTAGTTCATGACGCACATCCAAGAGGCTTTCTTTTAAAATAAAGAAGCTGCACAAATCTTTCAACCCAACTGCCAAAATTGGGGCTGTTCAAATGCCGACAAGCTAAATTCACTCAATTATCTAGATGACACCCCATTACTAGAAATCACATTGAATTCCAATTTGTTTTGTTTCTGTCAAACAATCGTTGCAAGGAAATGGTTGCAGTCTTCTTGAAGCTTGATAGCGCAGACCCAGGTCATAAATACTTATAACAAAATGCCACCATGCTACTTTTAATATGATCGGCATTTCATAAATAATTCAGGCGCATGAGAGGTCAAAATTCGTATTAGGAGGTTGTCGATAGACAATATTCCTTAAAATCTCGACAGAGTAGCAAAATTTCGTACACATTTTCCAACAATGAGATGCTTTAGGGGGGCTGTAGCTTCCCTATTCAAGGAAAATGCTTTACATCAAATGTCATAAGTTTTTCAGTTATTCATTCAACAATATTAGCTCTCTCCTATATAGAAAAAGCGTTTAGAACATCTACTTCATAAAAGACTGTAATCGAAAGTCTCAGTCCTCCAGGTTATATAATTTTGTTGATAAAAAGGGATTCTGACTTTTGTCTGTAAAAACGATTTTTGTCAGTTTACAAAGAAAACAAACAAGTAATGTTCTGTGGAGATTTCAACTTGGATGTCAAGGTACGAAGATCTACCTCCTGGTCCCGGCAAGATATTAAATTATAGCGATTTAAAATATTTTTGGTTATGGCATGATTTGTCTTCAATCTACTATTTCCTTTGGCTAAAAGATTTTACGATTTTTTGCAAGAAGTCACATCTTTGGCCATAATACAAGAGGTTGCAAAAGCAACATTTGTTATGTTAAGAATCAGTTGATGATGTGATAAACTGATGAATCGGTCTTAAAGCGTTCACATACTATGATTGAAGACAAAAATAGTAGATTGAAGACAAATCTGCCATAACCGAAAATATTTTAAAATCGCTAAATGTATATCTTACGGACCAGTATAGCGCGTACATTATTATATTCATAAATAATATAGGATTATAGTAGGGATAATACTGTACATGAAGTTCATAAATGCAAATAAAAGTTTGTCTGCCATGTGAAACATGAACAAAAACAAGAGTTCAGTGG